TAGATAAATATTAATTAAAAAATGTGACCAAAAATTAAAAAAATTAAAATGAATAAATTTTTCAATAAAATTAAAAAATTCTAATCTACTAACGGTTTGATACAAAAAATTACATAAACTAATTTTTTCAATCCGTTAGCGGTTTGAATCCTAACCGCTATCTGCTAGTCTTAGGGTTTGTTTAGTACAATGGTTAAAATTCAGCGGATAGTGGATAGCAGATAGTAGATAGCGGTAACGGGTAGTGGGTGGCAGTTAGCGGATAGCTGATGGCAGATACCGAAAAGTGAGTAGCAGATGGTAAATAGCAGATTCGATAAATATAACTGTTTGGTTATATAATAATTAGCTATTGTTGTTTAACATTAAATGACTAATAAGGACATGTTTAAAAATAAATAAGTGTACTTTTAAATATATTTATTTATTTATTATTAAAATTATTAATTTTATAAAAATAATAATAAGAAAGTAAATAAATAAAATTAATTATAATAATATAATTACACCCTCATTTTTATTTTAAAAAAAAAAATTATATTATTTTTCAATAAAAAATTAATCATTTTGTCTAGTTAACAAATTTTGTTTTTTTATAGATAATATACTTTTTAATTATAAATTAATGTACAAAAAAATATTATATTCACATAATGTTATTAAAGGTAAAAAAATAAAATTGAAATTTATAAGATAATTATTAATTAAAAAATGTGACCACAAATTAAAAAATTAAAAAGAATAAATTTGTCAATAAAATTAAAAAATTTTAATTCATTAACGGTTTGATACTAAAAGCTATATAAGGCTTGTTTAGTATAGCGGTTAAAATTCAGCAGATAGTGAATAGTGGGTAGTGGGTGGCGGTTAACGGATAATGGATGGTGGATAGTGGAAAGTGTGTAGCGGATGGTAAATAACGAATTCAATAAATATAACTATTTGACTATACAATAGTTAGCGGTTGTTATTTAACATTAAATGACTAATAAGGACATGTTTAAAAATAAATAAGTGTATTTTTAAAATATTTTTATTTATTATTATTAAAATTATTAATTTTATAAAAATAATAATAAGAAAATAAATAAATAAAATTAATT